AAAACCCTAAAAAATAGGTACCCTCAAGTATCTGTGTTTCACACCGTACAATGGAGAATTTATTCTCTTTGTTCATATTACTGTTACTTGTGCATTCTGGATGTCACTGTGACACTAATTATCTATAAGCACCATTTTTATTAGGTCTCTCTTCTGCTTAAATACATGTAATGCTCTCTGTTTCCAAGTTGACACTCTTGTTCTTCACAATCACTTCCAAGGGCAGTCATTCATTGGCAGCACTCTTTCTATCAAATATTATTTCCATTCTCAACCCATCACATACTTTCTTATAATTAATTAGTCTCACACTCAAGTAAACATACTGTAATCATTTCTTCAGCTTTGCCAATCCTTTTCCCTGACATGCTCTCGCCATCCTCATATCCAAATCCTACCCATCATGTGATGTCTTCTTAGACACTACTGTTAATGTCCCTAAACTTCATTAATCTCTCTCTCTCTCTCTCTTCTGAAATCTGTAACAGGTATAATCTGTGCAGCATAAACCACTACTTATTGTATGCTGATGTCACGTAGTGTTGGCTGTCGTTGCGCAGCCAGAGGTTATTTCCCCAAATAGAGTGCAGGCTTCCAGAGGCAAGAACATTCCTAAGATTACTTGTCATGTCTCCAGCTTACAACTCAGCAGTAAGACCAAAGCAGATGTTCAATAAATGGCTGATGAATGATTGCACAGCAATTAATTGATAGGTATTTTTTGGCGGGTGAGGATTTAATATCTATCATAGTTGCTTTTCTATCCAATGTTGGGATATAGGATTATATTTTCTTAGTGTTGAATGGAACAGGGGTGTCAAATCCTACACATGTATAAACCAAAACCGAACCCATTGCCGTCAAGTTGATTCTGACTCATGGGTACAAATAGTCATATGTAACCTGTAAAAAAATGAGTTATGGCATAAGAATAAAGGTAGTGCCAAATTAATTTACAGGCATCATGTACCGTTTTTATTCAATTAATTCAACAAATTGTCATTGAGTGCTTACTCTATGTCTGGTGCTAGGAGCACATCATAGACAAAAGAAAAAGAGGCACCATCTCTACCTTCTTGGAACTTCCAGTCAAACAAGGGAGGAAGATTTTTAAAAATATTATACTTGTAGCAAGAAATACAAAGGAAAGATACGTTTCACAATTATCATGTATAACTTCTGGATCATACTAAGGTTGGAAGGTCAAAGAAGTCTTCCCAGGGGAATTGTGTGGAGGAGCTTTATTTTCCACATCTACCTGCTCTCTGGCACAGTAGTTAAGAGCTTGGCTGCTAACCAGAAGGTCAGCAGTTCAAATCCGCCACCCACTCCTTGGAAACCCCGTGGGGCAGTTCTACTCTGTCCTGTATGGTCGCTATGAGTTGGAATTGACTCGACGGCAACGGGTTTGGTTTTGGTTTTTATCTGCCCTCCTAGTGATGCCCCACCAGTGAAGGGCTCGGGAGAAGGCTGCACCTTTGCCTCTGCCTGCTGCTATGTGCTCTCCTCTGCAGAAGGAGTGACAGCAATAGGTCGGCCTGTTCTGAGGTTTTCAGAACTAGCAGACACATAGCAGAGAATGGAAGTAGCTGTTGCAGGAGCGGGTTGCAATAGGAACAGCAAGTCCTCAGAGGCCACATCAGAGACTAAAGCCTGCCACGGCAAACCGGCAAAGTGAGATATGCCATTGAAAAAGGTTTGCAGAAAATTTTGCTCTCAGGACAGTCTTAATGTCTCTATTTAAGTATGTTAGACCAAATCCTGCCCTCAGGGACATACCTTGAAATTCCTTTGGCATCAAGAAAATGTCCTTCAGTATTTTTATACCTGCTAACAGAGAAAGTCACTTGGATAGCTTCCTAATATCTGTCCTAAATTGTGAGAGCAAGTGCTTCCCAGTACTCTGACTTAGCACAGATAAGAACCATATGAGTTACATGCCTTTCAATTCTGACATTAGGGACAAGCTGTGAAACGCTTCTATCAGAAATGTAGAATGTGGCAATACATTTTGTATTCAGTCAGAAACACTTCCCAGCTAAAAGTGAAGCACAGGAACAGGAAGATGTGAGATCTTGTACCCTACAGTTGTATGCCAGAATATTATTTATAAACATTTAGACAATTTTAAAAGTGCAATTACTTATTATCAAAATGCAATGACTACAGTTACAGTAAAAACTCAGTTGTCTGGGTAATTTGTGTTTGCTTCAATTACACATAGCTTTATAGAGCTAAATGTATGATGTTGTTGTTAGTTGCTGTCGAGTCGATTCCAACTCATGGCAACTCCGTGCGTGCAGAATAGAACTGCTCCGTAGGGTTTTCAAAACTGTGACGTTTCAGAAGCAGATCACCAAGCCTGTCTTCCAAGGTGCCTCTGGGTGGGTTGGAAGCATCAGCCTTTCTACTAGTAGTTGAGCACTTAACTGTTTGCACCAGTCAGGGACTCCTAAATCTATGATAGATTGTTTAAAAGAGTAGAGTGTTGTCCTTTATATTAGGTTAATTACAGAGCATTACAGAGCATGTCAGATCACTTGAGGACATTTTACCTGGCAGAGAGGGGGTGTCTACAGACCTCACATGAGCAGAAACTGCCAAGTTCTTTTCATCCTTTCTTTGCAGCATCCCCCAGACTTACCCCTTCCCCACATGCTTCCTGACCTATGATTGCTGACACTTCATGACTGGATTGTGAGACATGAGCCCTTGCTAGCTTGCCAGACCCAGTTCTAAAACACTGCTGCCATATTCTCCACCTTATTGATGAATTTGTCTTTCTGAAAATTCTCCCTCTTACAGTGTTACTCCCCTACTCAGGAAGGTATAATGTCTCCCTGCTGACTTTCACAGCCATGAACGTCTGTGCTTGGCTCTCAAATCTCTCCACAATCTGGGCCCCACTGTACTTAGTCAAATTAATTTTATAAGTATCCCCCACTCTTTGCTTTCTCTCTTGTGCTGACTGTTACTATTAAACAGTTCCCTCTGTCTCAAATGCCTTTTCAAATGACCATCACCCGTCAAGGCTTTGTCCAAACCCTCTTTACCTCCCTTCACATGACATCACCCTGGCTCCCTCACTTGCCGACCTCTTTTTCTTCTCTCATCCCGTTATAGTCCTTTGTCTCTACTCAACAGCTCACACATTCTTTTTCAGTATTTAGGTTGCTGACTCTGCTTTATTGTTTAAAACCTTTTAAAGAAATGTACTGTGATGAACCTTTATATTTTAGATAGACAGCTACCCCATAAATATTTGAATGAATGATGTTGAAACCCCAAGTATTTAAATGAATAAGCTACAATATGTAATTCATAGGACAAATAATACATTTATCCTGTAAATCACTTGCAGTTGTACTTCAGAATATTATATTATTTTATATAATAGCTTACAAATACATAATTATAACGTAATATAAAGGAATATATTGTATTATTCGTAGACATAAGTATGTATTATTCAAAATATTGTTTATTGCTTATTTCATAGATAGATATCACAGAAGTTTAGAACCAGAATGTTCTTGGTGATCATTTATTCTAATCCCATCATTTTGCTTGAAAGGAACTAGGGCTAAAGTGATTTAATTAACAAAAGGCAGAATTGGGATGAACTCTAATCTTGTGGCAAACACATCAGATACAACGCTTCCCACCAGTGCTTCTTGTCTTACTAGCTGACTTTTAGCCTGCTTTATGGACAAGGACAAGACCTGTCTTAATTGTATATTTTTTTTTTTTCTTAACTTTATACACACACACGTACATGTATATATAAATATATATTTGGCAAAGTGCCAGGACTGTAAGACTCTAATAAACTTCTTTTCTGAGAAGCACCAACGTTTCTTTCTTATAAAGTTTCCTAAATTTTTCAAAAGGGGTCTGAAATTATGGCATAACAAGGTGTTTCATGAAGTCTCAATTGTTTCCACTATGTTTTTTAAAAAAACTCTTTTTCAAGTACTTTTTTCATATAGTTATTGAGATTTTTCTGAAAGAACAGAAACAGAATGGTACAGAAAGTGAATCACTGGGTAAATATACTCCACCCAGGAGGACATGATGCCCTCACGGACTGACACCAGAGTTTAGTGCACCACAGGAGGTGTTTTACTCCTCATATTCATCTCACCACGAGACAGTCGTGATTTTTGAAAAACCCATCTATATAAATATACAGTTTGAAAATGATCATTTGGGTTGGGGGACCTTATCTTCATTTCAAAAGGATTATTTTAATGCAAGCAATTATCGTAGGGTTGTTTGTCTAAAGAATTTGTAATGTAAATAGAATGGCAAAATTCATTGTATCAACAGCTTTTCAGAAAAAAAAAGTAAAGACTGATTTTAAGTGAGGCATTTAATGAATGTGTCCAAATTTTTATGAACTTAGAGTATGTTAAATTAAACAAAAATGGCTTGTCTATGCATTATATGATGTGTCCCTAGATGACAGGAAATGGCTGTGTCTGGTTCAGGTGACATTGCTGTAGTCTTAGGTCTGTATTATCTACAGAGTTTGATGCAAGGCTTAGTGAATAAAATGAAATTGCTTGTTAGCCCAATGTCTTTTCTGTAGTAGGGCTGGGACGTCTGTTCAATTGAACCCTTTTCCTTACTCCCCCCATCCCGTGTCCTCATCCAGATCTGGGAGAAAGAAAACCAAAAACCAAACCAGTTATCGTCTAGTTGATTCTGACTCATGGCAGCTCATTGTGTTTCAGAGTAGAACTTCGCTTCATAGGGTTTTCAATGGCTGTGATCTTTTGGAAGTAGATCACCAGGCCTTTCCTTTGAGGCACTTCTATGGATTCTAACAGCCAACCTGTCAGTTAGTAGCTGAGTGCTTAAAAAAGGGCAGTTTTATTACTTACCAAACACCAGCTCATCTGCCTAATAAGCTGGCACTTGTACCAGTCAATAGGATAAAGAGTCGCTGATTTTAATGTTGCAGGCTGAATATTTTATAAATGTATTCTATTTTTCAGGCTATATTTTCTGTGAGTTCTGCTCAAGTGATAAGAATGTGTTGCAATGGTGACATAAAGTCTTGACTGAGACTGGGAAAGAAGCTGAAACACCATCTTTTCTTTTGTTCTTTTTTTTTATGGTGCTTCAATTGGGAACTGTCTGAGACAAGTATATACAACATGAGTTTTATCATGAAGCTTCACAGACATTTTCAAAGGACAGTTATTCTGCTTGCCACTTTTTGTATGGTGAGCATTATTATTTCTGCTTACTACCTGTATAGTGGCTACAAACAGGACAACGAACTCTCTGAGATGGCTTCAGAAGTGGACTGTGGGGACCTCCAACACCTGCCATACAGGTTAATGGAAGTGAAGACCACAAAGCCTTTTGATGCCTCAAGGACAGACCCCATAGTCCTGGTGTTTGTGGAGAGCCAGTACTCATCCCTCGGTCAAGACATCATTATGATTCTGGAATCAAGTAGATTCCAGTATCACATTGAAATCGCTCCTGGAAAGGGGGATCTCCCAGCTCTTATAGACAAAACCAGAGGCAAATATATTCTCATTATTTATGAGAATATTTTAAAGTATATAAATATGGACTCTTGGAATAGAAGTCTTTTAGATAAATACTGTATAGAATATGGTGTGGGTGTCATAGGATTCCATAAAACCAGTGAGAAGAGCCTGCAGAACTTTCAGTTAAAAGGTTTCCCTTTTTCCATATATGGAAACCTTGCTGTAAAAGATTGTTGTGTTAATTCTCATTCTCCACTGCTTCGTGTGACCAAATCTTCTAAGCTTGAAAAAGTTCCTTTGCCTAGAACTGACTGGACAGTTTTTCAGACCAATCACTCAGCTTACCAACCAGTGATATTCGCCAAAGTAAAGACCCCAGAAAACCTTTCTCCTCCCATCTCTAAAGGTGCTTTTTATGCCACTATCATACATGACCTGGGGCTTCACGATGGAATTCAAAGAGTTCTTTTTGGCAACAACTTGAACTTCTGGTTGCACAAGCTCATCTTCATAGATGCTGTCTCCTTCTTGTCTGGGAAGAGGCTGACATTGTCTTTGGACAGGTACATCCTTGTGGACATTGATGATATCTTTGTGGGGAAGGAGGGAACAAGAATGAACACCAATGATGTTAAGGTAAGTCTTTATTATCTCAATGTTGTTTCAAATTTTCTTTCATCTCTCAGTAGGGTGACCAACCATCTGATTTGTCAAGAACTGAGGGATTTCCTGGGATGTGGGACTTTCATTGCTAAAACCAAGAAGTCTCAGACAAACTGGGATGAGTTGTTCACCCTATTTCTCAGCTTCACATCAACTAAGTAGAAAATATTCTTCTCTCTAAAGCAAGAAAAATGAACATTGTACCAAAGGACTAAGTGTGGCATGATCCTGAAAAGGTTCTTTATGTGTATTTATAGCAAAAGAGTGTAAACAATTTTATTTAACTCATTAACATAAACTATGTACCTTAGAAAACTATTACTAATCTAAGACTTTAGTGCATTTAAACGTGAAGTCAAAGTGAATTTGTTTTAATGAAAATAAATTACTCCCATACATTTTAAACAATTACAGATCTCTTAAGTAGCAACTTTAGATATTTTTGGAAAGTCAAGTACAACTCACTTTTTCTGATCATATTTTTTTAGAACTCTGAAAATAAGGATAATTAAATATGGACAGCTATGGATACACTAAGGAGCCCTGGTGGTGCAGTATTTAAGCATTTGGCTGCTAACTGAAAGGTTGGTGGTTCAAAACCACCCAGCTACTCCGCGGGAGAAAGATGTGGTGATCTACTTCCATAAAGATTACAGCCTAAGAAACTGTATGGAGCAGTTCTACTCTGTTATATTGGGTCACTATGAGTCAGAATTGACTCAACGGCACCTAACAACAGCAGCAACATGCATATGAAAGCTATTTATTTACATATAAACCTAAAGATTTAAATTAACTCTCAGATTTCATTGAAGACTTTTCTGGTATGAATATGAAGCCTATCATGCTGCACTTAAACTGCATTAGATTTCTTATTGTATAAAACCTCTATCTGTAAACAGAAAACAGTTATTTGAAGATAATTGGTTATTATTGTGAATGGATTGTGTTCCATAAACTGGTTGTTTCATATTAACGTAATTTAAGATTCAAATAACCTAATTGATCTTAGGATTTATCATAGGAGTCTATCTCTGCTATACTACATATAGATTTCTAATGAAAGTGAGAGACTTTTGATACATAATTTTTATTTTACACAGCTTTGCCCTTTTAGTACAATGGAACTAAATCAGATAGCAGAAAATACATCTTGCAAAAACTGCGTTCTTTTCTCCAGACACTAAGCATTAGGCAAATAATAGTAAGGTTCATCACAGTATTTAAATGAGCTAAGAATACCAGAAGATCATTAAATGTTACAATAAGAGAGTGTGAAGAATGGGGGGAAAAGAAGCCCTCTATATTCTTGGCAGTATTTTAGTCTTTTCCTTTTAACTATAAGTTAGTAAAGAAGTTGTATTTAAGGTTTCATTAAGTCTTTTGAAACTTACTTTTCAAAATTAAATTAAAACCAAACTTGTACTTTAAACATTTATTACGTGCCTGAAAATTGCAAACAATACATAATTCCCTTTCTGATTTTTCCATTTCAAAATAGTATGATAAAAAATATTTCCGGAATGTAAACATTTCTGATATAAAATTCCTTAAAACTGCCAAAAAATATTTTATTATAGTATTTAAAGATATGATAGACAAATCTCTGAGTTTTTATGTAAACTTTCACTACATTCCCTTACAGTATACAAAATGCAATGTGTCTTTTGCACTCCTGAGCTCTTGAGGTTAAGCTAAGCCTCTCCTAAGGTTTTAGGAGTATGAAAAATTAAAGGCCTAATGAACACATTCAAGAAGAATTTAGCATATGTAAAATATTTTATGAATTGCTCATATTTAGATGGGAATATATTTCCTAAGCTACCTAAAGGCTAAAAACTATGTTTTTGAATTATTTTGGTTTTTAAACTACTTCTAAATTGCGTCTGTGATTCTGTCTGTAAACGCTGATTCACTGCAGTCAGCTGCCCTAACCGTACAGATGTATTCACTCCTTCAGAAACAAGTTATTGTGTACTACACGTGAAGCACTTTTAGGTGTATATAGATAGAGCAATAAACCTTGGTCCTATCCGTTTAGAAGAAGAGGTTGGGGACAGAATAAAGCCATAGAAGCCCAGAAAGCACCAATTACAGACTATGCTGAGCGGCTCTTCAGCACTTTATATGGGATACAAAGATAAATAAAGCATGGCTACCCTCTTAATGGATGTATTGCCCTCTGGGGAAGATAGATAGCTTCACCGTGATAAGTACAATAGTAAAGGTATCTACATGGTTTTATGTAAGTAATGCTGTGGGAAACACTATAGTTTGTGCTGTGTCCCAGAAACTATTAAATGTGTAGGACAGATTTTGAAGGCAAGGCTAGCGTGCTGTAATGCTGTGGGAGGCTGTGGATGGTTCGCACAAAATAAGGCAATTTCTTGAAATAAGGAAATGGAAGTAAGAAGAGAGAAGGGCCAGTGTAAGGACTGTTTTTGAGGTAAAATTGAAGAATTTAGTAATTGGATGAATGGAGGTGAGAAAGAATATAATCAAATATGATATTAAGATTTTAGCATAGGTGAGAGAATAAAGAGCTGTCACATGAATAGATGTATGCACACCCATGTTCATTGCAGCCCTGTTCACAGTAGCAAAAAGATGGAAACAACCTAGGTGCCCATCAACAGACAAATGAATAAACAAATTATAGTCTATTCACACAATGGAATGCTAGGCAGCGATAAAGAACAACGATGAATCTTCAAAACATAACATGGGTGAATCTGGAAGGTGTTATGCTGAGTGAAATTAGTCGCAGAAGGACAAATATTGTGTGAGAGCACTATTATAAAAACTCAAGAAATGGTTTAAACACAGAAGAAAACATTCTTTGATGGTTACGAGGGTTGGGGGAGAGGGAGGGAGACTGGTATTTACTAACTAGATAGCAGATGAGAATTATCTTAGGTGAAGGGAAGGACAACACACAATACAGGGGAAGTCAGCACAACCAGATAGTAGATAAGAATTATCTTAGGTGAAGGGAAGGACAACACACAATACAGGGGAAGTCAGCACAACTGGTCTAAACCAAAAGCTAAGACATTCCCTGAATACAACCAGACACTTTGAGGGGCAGAGTAATAGGGGCAGGGATCTGGGGACCATGGTTTCAGGGGACATCTAGGTCAATTGACATAACCAAGTTTATTAAGAAAGTGTTCTGCATCCCACTTTGGTGAGTGGTGGCTGGGGTCTTAAAAGCTAGCGAATGGCCGTCTAAGATACATCAATTGGTCCCAGTCCACCTGGAGTAAAGGAGAATGAAGAACACCAAAGACCCACGGAAAATAGTAGCCCAAAAGACAGAAAGGGCTACATAAACCAGAGACTCCATCAGCCTGAGACCAGAAGAACTAGATGGTGCCCGGCTACCACCAGTGACCGTCCTGACAGGGAACACAACAGAGAGTCCTGGATAGAGCAGGAGAAAAGTGGGGTGCAGGACTCAAATTCTAGTAAAAAGACCAGACTTAATGGTCTGACTGACACTGGAGAGACCCCGGAAGGCATGGCCCCCGGACTCTCTGTTAGCCCAGAACTGAAACTATTCCCAAAGCCAACTCTTCAGACAAAGATTAGAGTGGACTATAAGACATAAAATGATACTCGTGAAGAGAGTGCTGCTTAGCTCAAAAAGATACATGAGACTAAATGGGCAGCTCCTGTCTGGAGGCAAGATGAGAAGGCAAAAAGGGACAGGAGCCGGTTGAATGGACATGGGAAATCCCCGGTGGAAAGGAGGAGTGTGCTGATACATCATAGGGAGAGCAGCTGAAGTCACATAGCGATGTGTGTATAAATTTTTGTATGAGAACCGACTTGAACTGTAAACTTTCACTTAAAGCACAGTTAAAAAAAAAAGAGTTTAGCATAGGTGAATGATTTTTGATGATTTCAACAACAAAGAAAGGACAGGTGAAGGTTATAGCAGAGTTACTAAATATCATCATAAACATTTCCGTTTTACTGAAATGCACAAGACATCGGGGTGTAGATGTTTAACAGCTAGTTGCTTCATAAGAAGTCTGGATAGGAGGTACAGATTTCAGAGTCATCATTCTACCATGAATGGTTCAAATCATTAGAGTTTGTGAAATCAGCCAGGGAAGGAGTTTCTAGAGTGTAAGAGAAAATGATCAGATGTAGATTCTTGAGGAAAATCATCTTTCAGAAAACAGGTAGAGGGAGATGATCCTATGAATGGGAGTCAAACAGAGTCAGAGAACCAGGAAGCTGTGCTGGGAGTACAGAACTTCAGGAAGGGCATGATCATCGTGTAAAATCCAACAGAAGCAATCACTGAAGTATGGACTAGAAAGTCTCCTTTCGGAGAAGATGAAAGCCATAAATGACTCTTGAAAAGTCAGTGTCAATTAAATGGCAGAGGTAGAAGCCCAGAAGCAGTGAGTTCAGAAGTGAACTGGGGAATTAAGACATGGAAAAAGAGAGTGTGGCGTACTCAGTGGAGAGATATTGACATGAAGGATAGATGAGAAATTAGGCAGTAGCTGGAGGGTGGACTGGAGTTAGGGTGACCTGTCCTCTTGGTGTACCCAGGACTGAAGGTATTCAGTGCTAAAACCGAGATAATCCCAGGCAAATCAGGATGATAGATCACCCTAACTAGGGCAAGGGAAGGATTTTTCCTAGGAAGAAAGATAAAAGAGCATGAGGTCATGGGTTTGGTGATTAATAGTACATAATGAATAGAAATATTTTTAATCAACTTTTAAAAATTTAATTTTTCACTACTTATGAACAAATATTTACCCTATTTGAAGTGTTAGGCAAATTGAAAGGAATATGAATAAATTGAAGGTCACATGCAGTATTACTTGCAAAATTAAAAGGATAGTAAATAACATGCGCATCTTAATTCCTATACTAATCATTGCATAAGTAGTACTTTTCCCCTTATTTGGAACAGAAAATGTATTTATTTATTGAATGGAAGAATTAGA